TCCCTGTAAGACTTTGGAAAACCAAGAATGATCCCAAGGAGATCACTCGAGTCTAGCACATTACAATAAGCAAGGGTATTTTTATCAGATTTTTGAAATTCTTGGGCAACATTGCTTCGTCTATCAGTTAATTAAGGTCTTTCGTCTTCACGGAGGACCTTATAGTTATTCTACTGTTTCTTCTTCTTATTATTATTCTTATTTTTTAGACAAATTTTGTGCATGCGATATCTCGAAAACTATTTGATAGATTTTTGTCAAACTTTCAGGGATAATGTGTTATTATATGCCATTGTTACATTTGGAAGAATTTTGGAACAATTAGCTTCCGGTTCCAAGTTATGGCAATTTTTCTGATTTTAAAATAAAATTTTGTCAGCGCAGTATCTAAAGAACTACTAAAGATATGAACTGGAAACTTGTTGGAGAACATAGGGCATGACTTTTAGATGTGCGGAATTTACTTTTCATGTGTCTTCAGTACTTCTGGTTAAAGTTTTAGGAGCAAGTCCGTTCCCAAGTAACTATAAGCCCTACCTGGACCAAACTTGCCTGGATGATGCATCTAGGGATGGACACTACCACACTTGCTTCGGATGCTGGATCTGACCTACATTTTCCAGATGAGTGACCAGGTTAAAGTTTTTGGAGCAGGTCCATTCCCAAGTAACTATAAGCCCTACCTGGACCAAACTTGCTTGGATGATGCATTTAGGGAGGACACTACCACACTTGCTTTGGATGCTGGATCTGACCTACATTTTCCAGATGAGTGACCAGGTTAAAGTTTTTGGAGCAGGTCCATTCCCAAGTAACTATAAGCCCTACCTGGACCAAACTTGCTTGGATGATGCATTTAGGGATGGACACTACCACACTTGCTTTGGATGCTGGATCTGACCTAGATTTTCCAGATGAGTCACCAGGTTAAAGTTTTTGGAGCAGGTCTATTCCCAAGTAACTATAAGCCCTACCTGGACCAAACTTTCATGGATGATGCATCCAGGGATGGACACTACAATACTTGCTTCGGATGCTGAATCTGACCTACATTTTCCGGATGAGTGAATTTTAGCCATATTTTAATCAAATTAGCATGGATGATGTATCTTAGGATGGACACTTTCAGACTTGTTTTGGATTCTGAATCTGACCTATATTTTCCAGATGAGTGACCAGGGTAATGTTTTTGGAGTAGCTATAGAATATTATGGCATGATATGATTAAACTTGCATGGATGGTGCATCTAAGGATGAACACTTCCAGACTTGCTTTGGATGTTGGAACTTACCAAGATTTTCTTGATTAGTAAACAGGTTAAAATTTTTTTGAGCAGGTCTCTGTGCAGATTACTTTCCAAGTAACTATAAGTCCTTCTTAAACCAAACTTGTATGGATATTGATCTTGGGATGAACACTAACTAGTAAAAATATGATATGAGAATTGCCTTACTTATAGATAACCTTTGTCGAGGTGAGCTTCGTAATCTTTGATTACCTATGTTTTTTTAATTAACTTGGGTCAGTCGCGGCCGAGATTCAGACTCACGATCTCCCGATCACGAAGCACGCGCTCTACCGACTGAGCTACCGTAAATGGTCACATGAGTAGTGGTTTCACAGAGGTGATCTGGGTTTAATCCCGACTCTGTCTGAATTTTGCTTCTCATCTTTTAGCTTAAATTTATGTTTTCATCTTGATAAATGATGTTAGATGCTTTCCTTTCTGTGTGATTTCTATGGTGGTTTTTTTTTTATTATTTAAAATCTTTGCATTTTTGAAAACCCATAAAACATTTTTAGGTGTCCTTATTACTAGCATATATAAATGTAATTATACATGCAAGGAATATCACATAGAAGGATGGTTATTCGGATGGAAGACCTCTCGTTGCTCACAACGAGTTTCTAGTTATTATTATTTTGTTTTATACTTCCGTGGATCCTTTACAGTGTTATATAATACTCAGGTGATCGTTAAGGCCCATAGGCCTCTTTTTTTAACTATTACTGACATCAGGCAGACTTGCACTGTCTTGTCTTGTCACAAAAGATTGTTAATACAGGCACAGTAGTATGTTGCATATGCTATAGATAGTTTTCGATAGGTCTGAATTTAGCAAGAGTTACTTCCCATTGACCACCATATTGGAGGTCCAACGAGCAAATTTTTTTCTTTGAGCATCCAATTTTAAACTAGTATGGCAGAAATATAAGGGCTAATATCTTTAAAACACTAGAATTATGAATTAAAGGAAACTTGTTTTAACATAAATTCGTAAGAAAAATTGTGTTATCTTCACCCAATTACCCAGTATGACAAGATTAAATTGGTTGGATAATGAAGGAATTCGGGCTTGTATACCTCCAATATGGCGACCATCGGGAAATAACTCTTGCTAAAATTATGTCTAACGAAAACTATCTATATAAATGGAAAACTAAAAACAATACCCTTTGTTCCCAGCAAAGTCTTAGTAACTTTAGACAACATATTCTTATACCCCATGCAACAAGTTGAAGGGGGTATAATGTTTTTTTGACCCCTCCGTCAGTCAGTCCTGTTTTTAGCTCTACTGGTCAGAGACCAGAAGAGCTTATGCGATAGTAAGGTGTCCGTCGTCCGTCCGTCTGTCTGTCTGTCTGTCTGTCTGTCCGTCTGTCTGTAAACAATTTTTCAAAACGCTACTCCTCCTACAGTTTTGGTCCGATTTCAATACAACATGGCACACAAGTAGACTACACTAAGATACATAATTTAGTGCATCGGTTTTTGATTTCGATGGACGGTGTTGCCATGGTTACTAAAAATAGAAATTTCTGTGAAATTCCTTTAAAACGCTACTCCTCCTACAGTTTTGGTCCGATTTCAATATAACTTGGCACACAAGTAGACTACACTAAGATACATAATTTAGTGCATCGGTTTTTGATTTTGATGGACGGTGTTGCCATGGTTACTAAAAATAGAAATTTCTGTGAAATTCCTTTAAAACGCTACTCCTCCTACAGTTTTGGTCCGATTTCAATATAACTTGGCACACAAGTAGACTACACTAAGATACATAATTTAGTGCATCGGTTTTTGATTTTGATGGACGGTGTTGCCATGGTTACTAAAAATAGAAATTTCTGTGAAATTCCTTTAAAACGCTACTCCTCCTACAGTTTTGGTCCGATTTCAATATAACTTGGCACACAAGTAGACTACACTAAGATACATAATTTAATGCATCGGTTTTTGATTTTGATGGACAGTGTTGCCATGGTTACTAAAAATAGAAATTTCTGTGAAATTCCTTTAAAACGCTACTCCTCCTACATTTTTGATCCGATTTCAATATAACTTGGCACACAAGTAGACTACACTAAGATACATAATTTAGTGCATTGGTTTTTGATTTTGATGGACGGTGTTGCCATGGTTACTAAAAATAGAAATTTCTGTGAAATTCCTTTAAAACGCTACTTCTCCTACAGTTTTTGTCCAATTTCAATATAACTTGGCTTACAAGTAGACAACACTAAGATACATAATTTAGTGCATAGGTTTTTGATTTCCATGGACGGTGTTGCCATGGTTACTAAAAATAGAAATTTCTGTGTAATTCCTTCAAAATGCTACTCCTCCTACAGTTTTGGTCCGATTTCAATATAACTTGGCACACAGGTAGACTACACTAAGATACATAATTTAGTGCATCGGTTTTTGATTTCAATGGACGGTGTTGCCATGGTTACTAAAAATAGAAATTTCTGTGAAATTCCTTTAAAACACTACTCCTGCTACAGTTTTAGTCTGCTTTTAATATAATAAGGCATACAAGGAGACTATACTAAGATACATAATTTATTGGATTGGTTTTTGAATTCGATGAACAGTGTTGCCATGGTTACTTAAAGTAGAAATTTTTGTGAAATTCCCATTAAACGTTACTCCTCCTACAATTTTGGTCTGATTTCAATCTAATTTGGCACACAGTTAGAATACACTACGATACATAATATGTATTTCTGTTTTTTTTTATTTGGGTGAATGGTGTTGTCATGGTTACTAAAAATAGAAATTTCCGTGAAATACTTTCAAAACGCTACTCCTCCTACAGTTTTCATTTGATTTCAATATAACTTGGCACAGAAGTAGATTACTTTAAGATACATAATTCTATTTATTGTTGCATGTTGCAATGTTTCAAATCCAAGTGCTACTTTTCTTTTGTTATACAAACAGACCAGTAGAGCTACAGTCTCATCAGAGACTTCTGGGTTTTTTTTGTCAGCGCAGCTTCTTATAAACCGCTGCACAGAATTTTGTCAAACTCTGCAGATATTTAGGACACAATGTGTAAATGTGCATATTACCAGGAAATTCCCATTCCTTCATTTTTTCTGGGAATTTCGGCACTTTTCAACTTAGATTTTTGGCGTATCTTGAATATAGAGATGAACAGTTTGTCAGGGCAACTCCTCATAAACTGTTGCACAGAATTTTGTCAAACTTTGCAGATATTTAGGACACAATGTGTAGATGTGCATATTACCAGGAAATTCCAATTCCATTATTTTTCTTGGAATATCGCACTTTTCAACTTAGATTTTTGGCCATATCTTGAATATAGAGATGAGCAGTTTGTCAGTGCAGCTCCTCATAAGCTGCTGCACAGAATTTTGTCAAACTTTGCAGATATTTAGGACACAATGTGTAGATGTGCATATTACCAGGAAATTCCAATTCCTTTATTTTTCCTGGAATTTCGGCACTTTGAGTTTTGGGGGAGCATGGGGTATGTGAGCTTGCTCACTTTTTCTTTCATTTATATCTGAAGGAACTTAAAGCTTTGTTTCAGTTGTGTATACCAATTATTTTCTTTATTAACCAAAAGGAACCTACAGAAACACAGATAAGTTGGTAATACTTCTAAAAATCTTTTATAATTCCTCTTCTTGTGTCATTAGTTTGTTTTTTTTTTTTGAAACACTTAAAATTTTTTTCTTTCAGTTTTTTATCTGAGAGGCCCTTCACATTTAAGAACCAAACAGTGAGGAATACACCTGATATCATCTATCATTTCAACTCTGGAGAGTATATGGAAGAACTCTTGTTTATTATAGAGGTAATTTTGTTGATATCATTTTGACAGTAATGTAAGATGTAAATCAGAAGTCTCTAATGAGACTGTAGCTGTACTGATTTGTATTTAAAACAAAGTAAGAGAAAAGAGACACTTTGATATGAAACTAAAATAAACAGAATAATTAGGTCTTTCCACCTTTCTGTGGAAAGACCTATTGAAATTGTTCTGTTTATTATTATTATTATTATTATTATTTTTATTATTTTTCCGCCGAATGGTTTTTTGTTTCAAAAGTTATTATGTCTCAGCCCCCCCTTGTATGAGTTACTGCCCCTGAAATTTTACGCTGCTTACATTTAATGAACTTTTTTTTTTGAAATCAGTGTATCCTAGAAACATGGGACCAACTGCATCGACATATGTGACCTTTGACCTTGAAATATAGGTCAAGGTCATTTAAAAACATAAATCCCTTATATATGTGTAAAATATAGCAATTCACCAAATGACGTTGAACTTTGACCTTGACCTTTGACCTTGACATTGGGTCAAATGGAAAAGTAAGGACATACATTCAGCTCCAGTATCAGGTTAAAACATAGAAAGTAAAGATTTATGGGGGGGTTTTTTTGTTTGTTTGTTTTTTGTAATGACCTTGACCTTTGACCTTGACCCAAAGGTCACAATAAGGCTTAAAGATGTGGAAGTAGTTACAATTCTTAGTTTAAAAGAGGCATAAAATAAATAGTTCACCTCTCCCCCCCCCCCTTCTTAAAAAAAAAAAATCACATCAACAACGTAGAATATTACTCTAGAATTCAAACCAGACCTCGGATCGACACCAAATTTAGTACAAATGTAGTATAGACCTCAGAAAAACTTTATGGAGAATTTTACAGTAAGTCCTATAATTTTATAGAAGTCTTGAAGTTTCACGGCAAAAACTACAAGTTCTGTTGTGTTTGAAATTTAGGTGCAGGTGAACGAAGAAATGATCTAAACCTTTTATCGGCTATTTCTTCAGATATCATTAGTAGCATTCGATTCTCCTGATATGATACGACATTTTAATACCAAGCATTCTCTCTTTCTTTTACATTTGGAATTTATTTGATTTTTATTTAGAATTAATCAGTTTCCAGAAATAGTGATTTTCGGTATATTAAAAACAATTCTCGCTTTCATTGTCGTGTTTCCCTTCTAAAAATGCACGTTGGAAGTTTAATTTGTGATACACATATTTAATTTAACCCAAAGAAATGCTTATTTAAATGTTTCATATTTATTTCAGGATATTCAGTCAGAAATGTTAAAATCCGAACCCGATCTTTTAAGCTTACAAGGAAGCTATTTACAAAAAATTCAGCATGCGCACAATATCGATGAATCGGGCTACAGTCCATTAATACATTTTCATTAGGGAACAGTGTTAACGTTTTCTCACGCTGCCCGTCCCTTATTATTTAATATACTGCTTGCAAATTCAGGAACTATTTCCTTTTACGGAACTTCTTTCTTCCCCTACCGATTCTAAAAATACGCTTGCATTTATTCTGTAGACCTAAACATTTTAACATACTATTGTTATCGGAATGCGTGGCCTAATGGTTAGTGCACCTGCCTTTCAAACCAAGGGTTTTGAGTTCAATCCCAGCTGGAGGAGCAATTTTTTTTTTTTTTTTTTTTTGCATTTATTGCATTTTTCTTCATTTTTTTTCAGCCCAAATGACACGGAAACACTTAAAAAGGTGGAAAGACCTCTAATTGTTCTGTGAACAATTAGTTTACTAGTTATCCTTGGTTTTGTTTCTTTTATAGCAAGATTTATTGCATTCAAACTAAAATTAAAGAAGGAGTAAGATTTTAAAATTATTTTTAAATAAATTTCTATTTTTAGTAACTGTGGCAACATTGTTCATTGAAATCAAAAACTTATATACAGACTTGTATAATTATTTAAATGTAATCTACTTCATAAACAAAATTATGTATCTTACTGTAGTCTACTTGTGTTCCAAGTTATATTGAAATCAGACCAAAACTATAGGAGGAGTAGCATTTTGAAAGTATTTGACAGAAATTTCTATTTTTAGTAATGATGACAATACCATTTTCATCAAAATAAAAAAAAAAAATATACAGAATTATGTTTCTTTGTATGCCAAATTATATTAAACATGTTTAAAATCAGACCAAAACTGTAGCATTGCAAAGTAATATACAAAGATTTCTATTTTTTAGTAACCATGGCAACATTGTTCATTGAAATCAAAAACCTATATATAAAATTACGTGTTTAAGTGTAGTCTATTTGTGTGCCAAGTTATATAGAAATCAGACAAAAACTATAAGAGGAGTAGCGTTTTTGAAAGTATTAAACAGTAATTTGTATTTCTAGTAACCATGACAACACCATATATTAAAATTAAAAAGGGATACACAGGAATCAAGCTATATTGAAATTAGACTAATTACTGATAACAACACACAGATTGGCAAACGACTGACACTTTACTTTCACATAGGCTCTTCTGGTCTCTGAAAATGGGTCAAAAAGCTGAGGGTGTTATCCTAAAGGACAGCCAAAGTATAATAAAATGGCTATAAAATTCAAGGTTCAGAAAGCAGAGGGTATTTTACTATAGAATAACCAGATGTTGTTCATAATTTAAATATTGAGTCAAAACTGCCATAGCCATCCACTATTCAGCATCTTTAAGAAAGTTTTTTAACAATCGTCCAAAATAAGTCGGGCATGAATTGTATTTATATCAAGTTCATGTGTCTTGATCATTCCAATGGGTTTTTTTTTTTTTTATTATTTTTTTTATTTTTTTTGAGAAATGTTGGAATCACTTAAATGTATCAAATTACTTGGAATTACTAGTACTTTGTCTTGGGTATGACAAGACTTTCAAAGCAACAAAATATCAAATTATTTTGATTGAGAAGTCAGGTGTGATATTGAAAAAGAGTAATTTTTAGCTCTACTGGTCAGAGACCAGAAGAGCTTATGCGATAGTAAGGTGTCCGTCGTCCGTCCGTCTGTCTGTCTGTCTGTCCGTCTGTCTGTAAACAATTTTTCAAAACGCTACTCCTCCTACAGTTTTGGTCCGATTTCAATATAACTTGGCACACAAGTAGACTACACTAAGATACATAATTTAGTGCATCGGTATTTGATTTCGATGGACGGTGTTGCCATGGTTACTAAAAATAGAAATTTCTGTGAAATTCCTTTAAAACGCTACTCCTCCTACAGTTTTGGTCCGATTTCAATATAACTTGGCACACAAGTAGACTACACTAAGATACATAATTTAGTGCATCGGTTTTTGATTTCGATGGACGGTGTTGCCATGGTTACTAAAAATAGAAATTTCTGTGAAATTCCTTTAAAACACTACTCCTCCTACAGTTTTGGTCCGATTTCAATATAACTTGGCACACAAGTAGACTACACTAAGATACATAATTTAGTGCATCGGTTTTTGATTTCGATGGACGGTGTTGCCATGGTTACTAAAAATAGAAATTTCTGTGAAATTCCTTTAAAACACTACTCCTCCTACAGTTTTGGTCCGATTTCAATATAACTTGGCACACAAGTAGACTACACTAAGATACATAATTTAGTGCATCGGTTTTTGATTTTGATGGACGGTGTTGCCATGGTTACTAAAAATAGAAATTTCTGTGAAATTCCTTTAAAACGCTACTCCTCCTACAGTTTTGGTCCGATTTCAATATAACTTGGCACACAAGTAGACTACACTAAGATACATAATTTAGTGCATCGGTTTTTGATTTCGATGGACGGTGTTGCCATGGTTACTAAAAATAGAAATTTCTTTGAAATTCCTTTAAAACGTTACTCCTCCTACAATTTTGGTCTGATTTCAATCTAATTTGGCACACAGTTAGAATACACTACGATACATAATAGGTATTTCTGTTTTTTTTATTTGGGTGAATGGTGTTGTCATGGTTACTAAAAATAGAAATTTCCGTGAAATACTTTCAAAACGCTACTACTCCTAGTTTTCATTTGATTTCAATATAACTTGTCACAAAAGTAGACTACATTAAGATACATAATTCTATTTATTGTTGCATGTTGCAATGTTTCAAATCCAAGTGCTACTTTTCTTTTGTTATACAAACAGACCAGTAGAGCTACAGTCTCATCAGAGACTTCTGGTTTTTAAAAGTTTATTACTGCCAGGGAAGCAGATTTGTTAATTAAGAATGGGTTAGGCCACATAAATTTAAAATTTAGATTCTCATCCTAATTTGCTAAAAAAAATTGGGGCGGGTGGGCAGATTTTATTTTTTATAATTGAACAGATGAAAGTAACAACAAAACATGGACTCTTCGTACTCATTTTTTTTCATTATGTTAATGCCAATATGAATTGATTTTATTGTTTTCATATTCTTTTAAATAACTGCAGAAGATTCTTCTTTTAAAAAATTAAATATTTATAGTTTAATTAACAAATTATCAAGTACACATATACATGATATACGGTACACACCAAAAAAAATGAGGTTCGGATACCAATAAATTGCATATGCATGACTTCTCATCGGCCTTTCCCCAAATACCTTTTAGTTTTACCAACAAATCCTTCTGGTTTGTGTAAAATATCACAGATTTCCACCTTCCTCAAAAATTCGATCATTCTTGAGACTTGACATGATCGACATTAAAATAGGTCATATTTGCAAAATCTATAAAATGTTCTACTGAAAAGCCTAGGCCTGAACAGTTTTAAGATTTAACATTTCCTTAGCACTATTATTCTCTAAAGTCTGCTTAAGATGTTTTATTTATTTATTTTTTTTTTAATGCAAAATCACATACAGCTGGAGATCGTTAAAACTTGACCACAGATGTCATTTTCCTCGTCCATTTTTATTTAGTTAAAATATCTTTGAAAACTTGCTCATGCCAGTGATGGTATCTAGATGTGTTTATGCTATTTTTTCTTCTCTGCCTTCTCTATACTGACAAATTATTTTTTTCCTACATATTTAAACTGCTTTTATCAGTTTATTGCCGATATTTCTCCATTCTTCACATGGCTCTTTTGCTATAAATAGCGGCACACGACTTTTAATACAGACGTGAGATAACTCTTAAACTTTGACCCAAATTCTTGCGGAATAAAAATAACATGAAAATACTTTTAACACCCAAAAATAAAAATAAAAAACACCGAGGCGGGACACTTTGAGAGAGGTGGGCGGGGATAAGAATCTAAAGATTATTTTTTATCTGGCCTTACTGTCACTGCATATTTTTATTTACTAAAACAAGATTTTATGGTTGATACTGGTATATTCATTGGTAAAGAGAGGGGAGGGGGGGCTGAGACATAATAACTCTGTGTATCTCTTCCCCCCCCCCCTTTCTGTATAATATGTTCATACAAAACTATGACAGATTATAACTAAAATATGAATTTCTGACATTTATGTCTAATATTATTCACAAAAGGGGGGTGTTTAAAGATTGTAGTCTTTTTCAGGGCCCTCTATACATTGTGGCCAGTTAACCTTTTGTTCATGAATACTTGCTCATCCATGAAATTTATGAATTCTATATAAATAACCCATTTATATCCATTGAGCTTATTATCTTTCATATAATGCCAGAAATTTTGTTACTTATAAAAACTGAGTTATAACTATTTATCAATTTCACTAATTTACAAAGTTTCAAGGAGATCCATGCCATCATGGACTGACATGAATACATGTACCGTATAAGTGGAAATTTTAGCGATTTGTTCTTAAAAATTGGCATTTTATTTTTAGCTCACCTGAGCTGAAAGCTCAAGTGAGCTTTTCTGATCACATTTTGTCCGTCGTCCGTCTGTCTAGGTGTCCGTCCGTCTGTAAACTTTTCACATTTTCGACTTCTTCTCAAGAACCACTGGGCCAATTTCAACCAAACTTGCCACAAAGTATCCTTGGGTGAAGGGGATTCAAGTTTGTTCAAATGAAGGGCCATGCCCTCTTTCAAGGGGAGATAATAAAGAATTAGTGAAAAATTAATACCATCTTTTAAAAATCTTCTTCTTAAGAACCACAAGGCCAGGAAAGATAAAACTCATGTGAAAGCATCCTCAGGTAGTGTAGATTAAGATTTGTTCAAATCATGACCCTCGGGGGTAGGGCGGGGCCACAATGGAGGATCAAAGTTTTACATAGAAAAATATAGGAAAATCTTTAAAAATCTTCTTCTCAAGAACAGCAAAGCCATGATGAGTCATATTAATAATTTTGAAAGCATCCTCAGGTAGTGTAGATTCAGATTTGTTCAAATCATGACCCCTGGGGGTAGGGCGGGGCCACAATGGAGGATCAAAGTTTTACATAGAAAAATATAGGAAAAATCTTTAAAAATCTTCTTCTCAAGAACAGCAAAGCCATGATGAGTCATATTTATATAGAAGCATCCTCAGGTAGTGTAGATTCAAGTTTATTCAAATCATGACCCCTGGGGGTAGGGCGGGGCCACAATGGAGGATCAAAGTTTTACATAGAAATATATAGGAAAAGTCTTTAAAAAACTTCTTCTCAAGAACAGCAAAGCCACGATAAGTCATATTTATATGGAAGCATCCTCAGGTATTGTAGACTCAAGTTTGTTCAAATCATGACCCCCGGGGGTAGGGCGGGGCCACAATGGAGGATCAAAGTTTTACATAGAAAAATATAGGAAAAGTCTTTAAAAATCTTCTTCTCAAGAACAGCAAAGCCATGATAAGTCATATTTATATAGAAGCATCCTCAGGTATTGTAGATTCAAGTTTGTTCAAATCATGACCCTGGGGGTAGGGCAGGGCCACAATGGAGGATCAAAGTTTTACATAGAAATATATAGGAAAAATCTTTAAAAATCTTCTTCTCAAGAACAGCAAAGCCATGATGAGTCATATTTATATAGAAGCATCCTCAGGTATTGTAGATTCAAGTTTGTTCAAATCATGACCCCTGGGGGTAGGGCGGGGCCACAATAAAGGATCAAAGTTTTACATAGAAATATATAGGAAAAGTCTTTAAAAATCTTATTCTCAGGAACAGCGAAGCCCTGATTGGTCATATTTATATGGAAGCATCCTCAGGTAGTGTACATTCAAATTTATTCAAATCATGACCCCCGGGGGTAGGGCAGGGCCACAATGGAGGAACAAAGTTTTACATAGAAATATATAGGAAAAAATTTTAAAATCTCCTTCTCAGGAACTGAGATCATTCTGATTGATCATATTTATGTGGAAGCATCCTCAGGTAGTGAAGATTCTATTTTGTTCAAATCATGACCCCCGGAGGTAGGGTGGGGCCACAATGGAGGATCAAAGTCTTAAATAGAAATATATAGGAAAATATCTGCTTCTGTAGAACTGCACCCCAGGGATAGGATCGGGTCACAATGGGGGATCGAAAATTTTATATAGGAACATATAGGAAAATTTCTTCTTCTCAAGAACTGAAATCATGTTTGTCATTTTGATATGGAAGCATCCTCAGGTAGTCTAAATTCAATTCTGTTCAAATGATGACCCCCGGTGGTAGGATGGGGCATGGGGAATCGAAAGTTTTACATAAGAAAAATATTTCTTCTCAAGAAAAGACCCCCCCCCCCCCCCCGTTAATCTTTTCAATACTGAACTGATTTGTGCTTTTGCCTAGCCAATGTGCTTAGGTGAGCCATGTGGCCCATGGGCCTCTTGTTAGCAAAATGTAATTTTAGCAATTCTAAAAAGCTCTCTAAAGAAGCTATTACAAATAAAGTGCAATTATTTTTAGCGATATTCAATTTAAGCGATCTTGGCACCCTTGCTTATAATGCCAAAATTAAATCCTCGCTAAACATTCTGCCTATACGGTATTTTAGATGTTCATGGACTTGACGACAAGTGGTATAACGCAGGAAGATAACTTATGTCCTTGAATTAAGTTTCTTTAAATTGTAGGTAAAGAAGGCACCATTAAATGGAGATTCTACAGATATAAGACAGCTTGTTGGGGAAAAAATTATGGGACAAGTTGGAGCAGAGCTTATTGGCCAAATAAGATTCTCTGCATTTTATCCACATTCTTTTGGGGTCATTTGCGTGGAAACAAAGGTACAAATTGCTCACAGGGTTCAAACAATAGAAAACTAGTAACTGAATTGATATTCATTTTACTTTAGCCAAAGAAACAAGTGAGCTTTGCTGACCAAAGGATGTCCATGTCGGTTGTGTATTCAATAACGTTTCACATTTTTGACTTCTCCAGAACCACAGTTCTACCAAATTTGTCACAGATCATTGTTTTGTGAAGGGGATTGGATTTGTTTAGATGAAGAACCACACCCTCTTTCAAGGAGAGATGATTAAGATGTACAAAATCTCAAGGGTTTCTTGATGACAGGTACTTGTGGACAGGACCACCACCACCCCCCACCCCCAACCCCCGAATGTACCCCTCAGGTCAAAAAATATTTTTATGTATTTTTTTCATAAATTATTCCTCTAGTATACATTTACAATGTATTCCATAAGAAAAATCCAAAAAATAACACAGAATTAACGATTTACTAAAAAGCGATTTTTAAACCGCTACTGTAAACCAACTATTATTCGCGTCAACTTTTATTCGCGATTCGTCAGTTTGAAATCAATCCGCAACGATTAATTTTTGCAACTGAGGAAACATTCTCTACAAATACAAAGCAATATAAATGGTTCGCGGCGATTAATATTCGCGAAATAAAATAGGCCGCGAAACTCGCGAATATTTCTCGCACGCGAATAAAAGTTGGTTTACAGTATTTGGTATCAGTAATAACATCCTTTAAAGGGAAAATTGATGACTACCCTCACTCATCTCGAAAATCTTAAGCAGAATTTAATTCTAATGAATTAATTTCGACTTCTTTATCAAAATTTTTCTGAACTTTTTCGTAGACCTCTGACTTTTCCCTTAGTTCTATAACACTCGGAACTCGAGAGTTACATGCTAGGTGTCATTTTTGCATCACTTCCGTAATTTCTACTATGACATTTCCAAATCTTGTAGCATTTTTCAGTTTGACGATGAATACTCGGATTATTATGGAATGCCTGGGCAATTAAATAGCATGATTAAAGACAAAAATATCTACCGAAACAAGATATCATGACACATTTTGGTGACATGTATTAGGTAAATGATATTTCTGGCCTGATATCCAAGAGGGGTCAAGTGTAAACAAATGGAAGTGACTTACCTTCTCTATTTTATAATACGGCGGGTATGATTTTTTTAGTAAAATGTTAGTTCTGCTTTATTTTTTGGATTTTTCTTATGGAATACATTGTAAATGTATACTAGAAGAATAATTTATTTAAAAAATACATTAAAATATTTTTTGACCTGTGGGGTATATTTGGGGGGGGGGGGGTGTTCCTGTCCACAAGTACTGTGTTCTTGGCCAGAAACATGAGAAAAAGCCAGCTTCTTCGTGTAGTATACATGTACATGCAAAGAGGGCACCAAGAAAGACTAGTGCCTTACTCTAATTGGCTTACCCTCTTTAAAGTATTATCAGTAACCCTCCCCCCAACCCCACCCCCTCCCCTTAACCCCCAAATGAAATGCATCATGTCCATCTGTCTGTTTAGCTGTCTGTAGATATGATTTTGTATGGACATTTTCTTGGAGACTACTAACCATACAGATGTGCACCTGCTATTTACTTTTTGTCTGAATAATTAGATCTAACTTTGTTTTTGTTCTAATGAGTGTATTGTTTCTTTTTATTAAGTTCTTCCGTCTTCTGAAGACTATAGTGCTTCTGCTGTTTCATCTTCTTACTATTTTTTAGCCAAATTTGTGCACATGGTTTCTCGAAAAGTGATCGTTTGTTTTTCATGAAACTTTCAAGGATAATTGGCATTGGTATATATTTATGCCCTGCCATGAATATGGTTGGGGCATATAGTGTTTGTCATGTCCATCTTCCGTCCTTCCATCCTTCTGTCCTTCCGTCTTTCCGTCTGTCCTTCCGTCGTGCTTTGTGTGTAACTCTGTTCAAAGCTCAGTTTCAAAGAAACTATCCAAGATATTTTTATCAAACTTCATATGCTGATAGATATAGATGAGAGCTATGCAACTGTATCAACATTTTTTGACCTTGACCTTTCCTTTGACCTTGACCTCACTTTTCATATAGTAGTCTTTAGCTCAGTTTTAAAGATACCATAAAAAGATACAAAGATTCCAAAACCATATGAGGTCATTTAGAAACTGTTGAAAGGTAAATAAAGTATGAGGGATAGGAGAAAAATATATGGTTAATAATCGGATACCATTCTTAAAGCGGGGACAAGCAATAAATACGAAAAATAATGCCAGAAGCAATGGACAAAAAAGTGGCAGTGTAAATTGAAGGTTTTTACAATGTTTGGATCTGTAGCTCTCTGCTTTGTCTGTCCGAATTTTCTCAAGCAGAGAGCTACAGTTCTGCAGCTACCCCAGGGGTAGAGTGGGGCCACAATGGAAGACCAGATTTTTATACAGGAATATATAGGAAAAAATTTAGAAAACTCTTCTTCTCATGAACAGCAAAGCGATGATAATTAGTAATATTATTATAGAAACATCCTCAGGTAGTGTAGATTCAAGTTTGTTTAAATCATGACCCCTGGGGGTAGAGTGGGATCACAATTTTTGGATCAAATTTTCATATAGTAATATATAGGAAAAAAAATTCTACTCAAGAACATTCAGATATGTTCCAATCATGTCCCTGGAGGTAGGGCAAGGTCTCAATAGAAGATCAAAAAGTATGGCTTAGGCAGATGCCAAACATTTGGGCTGATACCAGGGTAGAGATCAAAAAGCAATGCGATATTAGGGATAGGGTTCCAATATGGGGACATATTTTGTCGGAGGAATAAAGGTGGGCAATCATAAAAATCCTCTGAAGGCCTAGTGCTATTCAGGTGAGCATTGTGGTCCATCAGCCTCTTGTTTCCTTAAATGTTGGAAAAGTTCAACTTTACTGAGTACATTCTGAATATTTACTTGAATTCTCTTATTTCTTTGTAGTTAATTTTTGTCCTCCTGAAAATTTCAAAAGAGCATTCAGATGGCATATTTGCTGGAGACAGAGGAACAGGAGAGGATCCTGGGAAAATTCATTACACTGAGCCATTTGACATGTTAGTAGCTGAGGACAGGTCTAAAATTGCAGATTTTATGTTTTGGTTAGGATTTGTTCAAGATGCTAGGAAATACAAAAAGTTTTGATATGTTAGCTGTATTCTGGATATCCATTTAAGTCTATTCATTGGTCCTTTGGTCATGATTGTACATAAGAAAGTGTACCTGAACATTTAAAGAGAGATATGTACAAGGGGTGATCAAGAAGATTTGAGACTGAATTCAACAAATACAATAGTTGCCTGAGCCTTTGTTCATTACAATTTTAGTTAATAGCATAAATGGTAAAAGATGAATATAGGTCAAGAATTTCATGGTCTCTTCTCTGGAGGGCCTAAAGGGTGTGGCCAACATTGTCAAAGCTAATGCAAACTTTTAATTATTGACATTTACAAGGTAAATTATTGGCATGAATAACAATTATACCCTTACCTTAACATTTTGAAATTCATGGCTTTTGGTTCTATGGTCCAGTCTCAAAGATGGGGCAAATTAGTCATATATTGAAAATGCATTATATCATATAAAATCTTTCTTTATCCATGGACTTCTAGCTGGAAAATGTTTTCACAATTATAATGAGGTCTTTTCACCAAACTTGTAATTAGCGTGTTGGTAAAAGGATACTTTGTGGCAAGTTTGGTTGAAATTGGCTCAGTGGTTCTGGAGAAGAAATAAAAAATGTGAAAAGTTTACAGACGGATGGACAGACAGATAGATGGACTACAGCCAAATTGTGATCAGAAAAGCTCACTTGAGCTTTCAGCTCAAATGAGCTAAAAATGTAGATGTAGCATTTTGAACAAACTGTTAAAACTCAGAACAGACATATGGATGACTGACACCTTCAAGTTTGTTCAATTCACACCCCCCATGGGTAGGGTGGGGCAACAATGGACGATCAAAGTTTTACATAAGAATATACAGGAAAATCTTTAAAAATCTTCATCTCAAGAACAACAAAGCCATGATTGGTCATTTATATGGAAGCATCCTCAGGTGGTGTAGATTCAAGTTTTTTTTCAAATCATGACCCCCAGGGGTAGGGTGGGGCAACAATGGACAATCAAATTTAAAATAAAAATATATAGGAAAAATCTGATGATGAAGAACAGCAAAGCCATGATTGGTCATATAAGGAAGCATCCTCAGGTAGAGTAGATTCACTTTTGTTCAGATCATGAGCCCCGGGGGTAGGGTGGCGCCACAATGGACAATTAAAGTTTTACATAGGAATATACATGAAAAATATTTAAAAATCTTCTTTTCAAGAGCAACAAAGCCATGATTGGTCATATTTATATGGAAGCATCCTCAGGTAGTGTAGATTTAAGTTTGTTCAAATCATGACCCCCGGAGGTAGGGTGGGGCCACAATGGATGATCAAAGTTTTACATAGGAATATATCTAGGAAAAATCTTTAAAAATCTTCTTCTCAAGAACAACAAAGCTGTGATTGGTCATATTTATTTGGAGGCATCCTCAGGTGGTATAGATTCAAGTTTGTTCAAATCATGACCCCCAGGAGGCAGGGTGGGGCCAAAATGACAGTTCAAACTTATAGGGAAAAAAGCCACAGTAAGTCAAAGAAATATGGAAGCATTCTTAGTTAGTGAAGATTCAAATTAATTCTAACCCCCCCCCCCCCAACCCCCCCCCCCCCCCATTTTAAAGGGAGGTTGGGACCACTTATGCAGTTAAGCTTTTCAATTCTGAATTTATTTTTTATTTTTTCCTAGCCACAGTGCACAGGTGAGTGATGTGGCCCATGGGCCTCTTGTTAGTTTGTTTTAAAGGTCATATGAAACGGTTCAAAACAGTAGGATTTTACTTTTTAAACATAAAGACTTGTATGAAAGAATGTCAAATTACGCTTAGTATAAAATTTTTTGCCTTTGCTTAACTGAAAAATGGAGGCCTAAATTTGTCCACTCAATAAATTTGTTACCCGCTTATCGTTCTTGATTTTGTGTTTTTATGACGTCACAAAGACCCATTGATGTAAATAACGCATTAGATATAGTGTAATTTTACCGTATTTTATTGAGTTAATTTTAGTCATTTTTTGGGGATATAAATGTGATTATGTCTTTAGATGAGCTATCTGATTCTAAAGTACAATTTACTCTATTTAAACTAATCGTTAATTAGGCCAACAACTGAAAACGAGAGCTTTTCATCGTAGGATGATACTGATGAATATTCCACTGAAATCAAGATTTTTCTCTTCCAACTATGATTACTTATTTTAAATTAGTACTTTAGAAACAAAAATCTTCTTATTTCTATATGATTCATGATGTTTTTTTCATTCCTACATGTAGTGAAAGTGTATAATTAACAACAAAAAACAGCGTAATTAATTAACATTGACCTGAAGCTTCTTACAATAAAAATTTAATGGGCATGCAAAATCTGTAAAATAAAGTTGTGTCATATATTGAGAGGGAAAAATATCCAGCTCAAGGGTACCCCTTATTCCCAAATAAACACGGGGATATTGAAGTTCATGATGAACATGCATCAATGAAAAGTCGGCGTATTTGAATGCACGCTTTCTGCAATCTGAAACACGAGGACTAATGTAAAACGATATAGAAATAGGGGTTTATGACGACATCATCGTAATTTTGCTGTCACAAGAAACATGATTTTAAAAAAAATGGCGCAAAATTACCGGCATCACGATTGCGAGTATGGACACGTACATGTATAAATGTACATGTATATACATGCACTGTAATGTTACGGTACTGATACTTCTAACAGTTTGACTGAGCAATTGCAGTTTGAAAATACTCATACAGTTCGTGCATAAATTGATCAGTTAAAAAAATCCATCCCCCCCCCCCCCCCCATTATTTGCGCGATTGAACCTGAACAATTTTTAAAATTAATATTTTTACAGTTAAACATTTTTTTTTATATCAGACTATATACTCTGTGTTGAAATAATCTGATACAAATTCAAACAATTCGGTCTGTAAATATATTCACACAGAAAAGTAGAATTGCATAGATAGAATTGTGTTTGATGTCTGACTTTTAAAAATTACGATATTAAATATAGTTACAGTGTTATGTGTATACATGTACTGACTTTTTGGTAAGAAAAATATACGGGAAGAGAGAGAGAGAGAGTCATCGAGACAGGGAAAGCCAAAGAGAGAAAAGGGAAAGCGATTGAGAGAGGGGGAAAGCGAGAAAGCGATAGAATCATTTCATTTCCCATGTCAGAATAAATGAAATAATTTATTTGCAGGTTTAGTTTCACTTTCACACACCGCGGTCAATCGAATTCAGCTTTACTTATAAATTTTAATCAGAAAACAAATCATCAATATTCTTGTGTTAGAAATTTATTCAACTGTAAATTATTTGACAGCCTCTATATTCACTTACTCTAGTACAGACTCCCTCTCTCTGTTTCTCTCTCTCTCTCTCTCGATTGAAGTGTCGAAGGACGACAATAAATTACAAAGATAAAACATGTTAAAATCTTGCAAATATGCAATAGGATGTTAAAAGACAAATACAATCTTGTTTGAACATCGTATATTTATGCGATATTTTAGCCAAGATGATGATATTTCTCAAAAATTACGCTGCAAAAGACATGATGGGTTGTATAAATGTTAGTACTGAATGTAGCGAGTGGGTCTTACTGACGTCATAAGCAAAGGGAAATAAGCCGCGCTAGTTGAAGTTCATTTTCGCAGTCAAGTAATTTTGATCGACTCTGCTGCCGCTAACTTGCATAAAAAATCCAAAATGTAATTTCAGGCTTATTAAAGTTGCTCAGATGAACTCATTTCCGTATACAACCCAAAATGCTCAGGGCATTGTTTCATATGACCTTTAAACAAAATTATGTTCACATATAGACTACACTGAAATAAATGAATATTTTAGTTTTTGATGTTGCCATGAGTAAAAAGTATATGTTTTTTTTTTAATTAAAAAAGTATTCTTGTACTTTTCATTTTTTTTCTCTCCTATAACATAATTGTAGCCCTATTGGTTTGTTCTGAACAAACCAGAAGGGCTACAATGTCATCAGAGAATTGTTACAAGTTTGAAACTTTCAAATATTTATAGTCTTTATAGAGTCTTTTAAGTTATGATAACAGAAAAAGTGTGGGTATTTATGCTTTGTTTTGTTTTTGTTTGTTTGTTTGTTTTTGTTTTTGGTTTTTTTTTTGGTTTGATTTCAAAACGGTGTTAACATGGTTAAAAGTAGAAATTCACCTGAAATTCTTGTTGAAGTTGACTATGTAATTTTATGAATTCATTAAACAGTACATTATCAATTATTGTCAAAGTAAGCTCTAAAGATGGTACAGGAATGTTATACTCTTCTGGCTCAATTCTGTATTTAATTGTTGGTTATTGAGAAGTAATGTATTTTTTTGAATTATAAATTGTTAACTTTGAATATTAAACAGGTTTGTGACTTTCATCTGTATATTTTGTTCATTATGATGTTTAGAACCTGTTTCTTATGCCTGTGACTGGCATGGGTTTATCGTAATTGAGTAATCGTAATCGATTGTAATTACTTTTTTCAAGTAATCGACAGTAATCTGTAATCGAAGATATTTTCGATTACTTGTAATCGTAATTTAATCGATTACAGCTAAAATTCTCAAAGTAATTATAATTACTTTTTCAATTGCTTTTAAATTATAGATCTACACATAAACATACACATCTTTGTACATATTACAAGGGTTGTCCCAGAAAAAGCGAACTTTTTGAATATTTCAAATACTATTCAACCAAATCTAATAATTTATTGCATGGTGTTGGAAAATGAACATTTTGTTATTTTGACAAAATATTGTAGGCCTGTGATGTCATGTGCATATAAAAACTGCATTCAAAGGGTGTTAAATATCGGTGGTCGGCAAACGACAATTTTTTGACTTTTACAAATCTGATTGTCAATGAAGTTTTCTTTGTTGTCGGGCTACAAGGAAATATAATGTGAAAAAATTTACCTACATAAATACTCTATAATTTAGTGTACTCGTGTTTAAAAATTCATTTATTTGACATCATAATTGACAAATATATGACGATATGTGCCAAAGCACTTTAAATTAGACATTGTCAAAAATTGTGATGTTGAGGGGTAATGTGGAGCACCAAATTATCAAGCAACCCTATGTTGAGCGGGATATGACTCCTGTACATAGGGAAAAGAGATGTTAACGATGAAAAAACACAAACATGAGTATTGGAAACAGGTTTATGCCTAGTTAAAGGGGTTTGAGGTTGACGAGACTGGTTATCCTATAGAAGAGAATAGACCAGTAAAATGAAAACGAACTGAAAAGACAAGAGCACTACGTCATTGGCCTATGTGAATTCGATCAGTTAGATTAATGATCGGAATTGTGAAATTGTCTATTAAAAGAATTAACTCCGCAAGCTTTTGCCAACACTAGTACGTGAGATGTACTGTATAACTTTGTCACTAAAAGAAAATTAAGTACAGTGCCGACTTTATGCTTAAATGGATTTTATTAGAGGTACAGTTTCCAATTCACAAACACTACGAGCTATGTTTTGATGTCGTTAGCGTTGCACGGACAGCTGATTTGTTAGATTAGTTAACCTGAGGGGAAAATATTATTTATAGAGATATTTCATTAAATTTTCAGGAATTATTCAAAAAATGTTGGTAATGATGTATGCCAATTTTAAGTTGATAGTCTTAGTGAAACAAAAGATATTGAAAATGTTCGCGTTTTTCTGGGACAACCCTCGTAAATGAATGCTATTTTGGAGAAACACATAAATATCAAACAAAAACCACCCAGTGATATGTGTGGATTTCCTAACATTTATTATCATAACTTTTGATAATGTCCATAATAAAATTTGCAGTATAAGCATACTTGTATGTATGGGTTTTTTTTTTTCATTTGACTCACTGTCCTCTTGTTACATGTCCTAATTTTTAATATTTTAGATGTTGGTAAAATTTGTCTTGTAACAGAAAATAATAGATAGCAAGAATAGATTTGAATGCTTTTGTATAACAAACAAAACTACTTGTACTAATGGAAAAATAAGACAGAAATACTTCTCATATCTGGTTGTGTTTTTAAATTTGCAAAATCATTTCCATGTTTTCATTCAAAATCATAAGGTAACTTGTTTTGTCAATAAGTTTCTGTATTTTTAAAGATGGGGGCAAGTGTCACTATGTTTATCTTGGCTAATTAACTGGGAAATCCCTGACTGCAGATAATAAGGTGTGAACTGTGAACTACATAGTATTTTATAATTGATAACTCCACTGTAGATGAACAATCTTATTAGACCAACTAGTGCTAATTGTAACGGGAACCGTTACAGATGTTCCCCAAACGGCTCCCCAATCCCTTATGATGCCCCATTTCCTACAAGCTTCAATAAATTAGACAATACTTTTGTAATATAGATGGACACTTTATTTTTAAGGGTATTTCATTGGAAAACTACTCCGATATAGCCATATGGGTATTAGCCAATCAAATTTCAGCGCGTGTGCTTGCACATGTTTTCTACATTTTTCACATTAATTTTCTTATAGTGTCTCACAATACATACATTTGTTTTAAATATTAAAGAATTTCATTGAAAAATAAGAGAGATGTACCCTTTAAGTATTAGCCAATCAAAATTCAGCATACGCGCATGCATGGCCTTGCATTCAATTTTGATAGTATCATAATGTAGGAGCTCTATGTGCCTATCCATGTCATAAATTTCATCCTGTTTTGTTGAAAAGCAAGGGAGTTATAGACATTTAAAGTTTCAACCAATCAGATTGCAGCACACCTGCATGCGCGTGTTTTCAAGAAATTTCCTATATAACATGTTGTAGCACCTTATAATATATATACTTATATTCTAAATTTCAAAGTATTTTGTCAAAAAACAAGGAAATTATTGAGATTTTTGTATCAGCCAATCAGAGAAGAGCGCACGTGCATGCGCGTGAGTTCACGCTAATTTGACCATGTTATCTTGTCTAGACTACTAATATACCTGTATATTTTGAGTTTCAAAGCAATTCATCAAGAAATATAAAAGTTACGGCTTCATCAAGTATATCAGTCATTTCACTCATTGCACGCGCGCGCATGTGCATGCATGTGCGCGCAAAATGACCTTCGTTCCGAACACCTACAGAACATGCCTATTAACCCTAAAAAGGTTTCATGTCAATCGGATGAGTGGTTCTATGAGAACACTCCCGGACAAAAAAGTACCGGAGAAGAAAGTAGAAAAAAAGAATAATAATAATAACTAGACTCTTGTTGCTATGGCAACAAAAAGGTCTTCCGTTCCTATATGATACCGTTTGCATTGATTTTTTTTTGTAGAGAAACGTGTACAGTATGTAATATTTAAGTTGTAAAGAATCTAAAATTTGTCCCTTCGGTCCTTGCAGTCCATTGATTTTTACTGCAAAAATGAATGTATCTGTTGTCCTTATATAAGATATTGTATGCATGTTTTTTTTTCATTAGTAGAAGTATATTTAAACTATTTTAAATTTAAAAGTTAAAATGGGGGAGGGGGTTTTATCTAGAAAACAACTTGTCAGTTCTTACAGTACTTTGATTTTCACTACAAAAATGAAAGTATCCACCGTCCTTATATATAAACATGACAAATTTAATACATTAGTGTATGAATTGAATTTTGCATTTAGAGAAACATCTATATATAAGTCGAAGTAAAAAAGAATAGTAAATATCCTTTCAGTCCTTGCGGTACTTTGATTTTTATTGGCTAATGAAAATACCTTCCATAGGAAACTTATTCTATGCATTGATTTTTATGTATAGAAAAACATGCCTGTTTATACTACACTGTAGTTTGAAAAATTTGGGTATCTAAAACAGTCCTCTCAGTACTTCAGGTACTTTGATATTTACTGCAATTAAATGTAGTCTTCATTCTTATATATGATACTGTATGTATTGATTTTTGTATGCAGAGAAACATGTAAACATAACCTTCATGTAAGTTAAAGTAAGAAATGCGCTATCAGTACTTTTAGTACTTTGATTTTTGAAAGGAAAAAAGAAAGTAGATGAAATGTATAAAACGGGTGACCTGATTTCAAAACAAATTAAATATTTGGCACTTATTGACCTATCTCTATTACGCCTAAAAATATCTTGAAAATATGTTTAAAAACAAAAAAGTCGAAAATTGACCAAAACACAAATTCACTTCCGGTTTAGACAGGAAGTTCCAGACACAAACGAAAATCACGTAGAAACAAAAAGAATGTCATGATCTATCATTCCTGTAAATTTCACATCTTTACCTCAAACCCTTTCTGAGAAAAACACCGGACAAAAATGCAATTTAAAATTTGAAATACGGCCGTAACTTCGGACCGGAAGTGAATTTTTCAAAAAACGGAATTTTATATAAACTTCATATATCAACCTATTATCCAGTGAAAAATTGTGAAAATCTATCGAAACATCTCTGAGTAATCGCGCTCACAAAATTTGGGAGGAATAATAATAATAATAATAATAACTAGACTCTTGTTGCCATGGCAACAAAAAAGTCTTCCGTTCTTCTAAATCTGTAAGAATTTGTTTTTTTTCTGTGTAAAAAACATACATATCATATTTACTGTGAAAGAAAAAAATAACTGGAAAAAAATGTCCTTTCAGTACTTAAGGTACTTTGATTTTCATTATCAATCTTGAATAATGCATTTGGCACCTATAAGAGATATACGTATCTCATTAGCAATTTAAAAAAAATTGTTTGCAATCATTTCTAAGACAAACAAACAGACGAACAAAAACCGTACTATCATAAACTTCACTGTGTATGTTTTGGCATAATTGTGTATGGTGTTATAAAAAAATATAATGAATTAAGTTAGTATCACATTAAACGTAAAGTCACTGAGTTTTGTAAAGTTATAATATCAAGATTTGACAGCATACATGTACCTATAAGACAGATTATTCAATTACAGTAATTCTTCAGCAATCGATTGATTGATTATACGTATGTTGTTTAACGTCCCTCTCCAGAATTTTTCACTCACATGGAGACGCCACAAGTCGCCGGTGGAGACTGCAAATTTTTTTCCTATACTTTGGCACTTATCGCAATTGAGCAGTGGGGAATCTTTTTTATGCCAGCACCTTTTGCGACAAGGGACCTCGATTTATACGATCTCATCCAAAGGACCGGTCTCCACGTCCCACAATCGAAGTTCATAATACCGAGATATTTTATTTTTTATTTCATTCTATTTTTTCACAAGTTTGTTGCATCAGATTTACTTAAAGATCATACTTCAAGATCATTTCGAACTCAGGCTACTTAATTGCATTGCATACAGCGTCAAGTGATTTTGATTGACAGGTCAACACAGGTGCACTTCGTGTGATACTATATACAGCATGTGACCATGACTGACTATGAAATCAGAAATATTTAATAAAGAATGGGTGTGACCGATATAGAACTAATTTTTGGTCTATGTAAATGGATAGGAGGATCGGGATTAAGAGGGAATCTCTCTCTCTCCTCTCTCTCTCTCTCTCTCTCTCTCTCTCTCTCTCTCTCTCTCAGACGTAAATTGAACATTTCATAATGACAAATCTACCATTATAGAGCATGAAATTCTGTATACATGTAAATGGTAATTATATTCACATGTTCCAGATTTAAATCTAAAACGAATATATAATTCAAATGCCTAGCTGCACGAACGTCTCCAAATATTAATCAAGACGGGGGTGGGGTGGGGGTGGGGGTGGGGGGCTTCAAAGGAATTAGATAGTTTTATGTTTTATGAATTATAAGGAAAAGTACGGACGTCAGTTGCATGTACATAATTATATATCATTGCATAAAATTGTGTTCATTCAGGTATACTTATCCCACATACCAACAGACCTGTGCAATTTTTTTCATGTTTTTTTTTTCAAAAGAAACATATAGCGTACCATTATTTCACACAGAATCGCGTTTTCACTTATTTTTTTGTAACTCTTTGAGTATTTCACAAGGATCCATGCCCAAGAATCGTCTTTTCACATCTTTTATAATTCCTTGGGTATATAGAATATAGATCATGTGTCATAAATAATTTAACTTTTTATCAAATATACATGTAATAACAAAATCTAATCTATAGATTGATTTTCTTTCTTTTAAGTGGCAGATATCAATTTATTTATAAAGGCTTTAAAACAGTACTGTATTACAATTTTCTATCGCTCAATTTCTTTTTGAGTGTATGTAACATTTTTTTAATATCGAAAATAAAACTCGGAAATCGGGATAATTTCGCATTCAAATCATAGAGAATAATAAATCGTCTGCATTATAGAAGGCTTATAACTATCGTATTCTGAAATTACTATACGAGATAGATAAAACTGCATGCCTGTCCATCACTATAAATGTATATTCAGTGCTTATAATATATTTACTTGAATTAGGTACCTAGCATATATATTAATTTTTTTTTAGATATATTCATGTGTAAATAAATTAACTGTCAATACAGACTTACACTACACTGGCAACTTTAAACTATACATGCACTGGAAGTGGTAACCAATGTACTCTTACATTTAGAAGAGTGAATATGGAACGTCTAAATATTTTGATATGGACAGTGTATATGTCTCTGACGTCATCGATACTATTTCCGCCTTTATCTCGAAAGTTCTGTTCTCACTTACAAGTCAGAGTTATCTTTCTTTGCCCATTGTTTACACACTAGGTAAGTAGGGAAAGTGAGGGTACCGAAAATCTGCAAAATGTGGAATCTGATTTCAAAACAAATAATATATTTAGTATTTGTAGAATAACCTCTGTTATACATAATAATATCTTGAAAAAATATTTAAAAACAAAAAAGTTGAAAATTGACCAAACACAAGTTCGAAACAAAGAGAATGTCATGATCTAATACTCTTGTAATTTTCACATCGTTACCTCAAACCGTTTCCGAGAAAAATTCCGGACAAAAGTCCATTTAAAAATTGGAAATTCGGCCGTAACTTCGGACCGGAAGTGAATTTTTTCAAAAAACGGAATTTTATATAAACTTCATATATCAGCCTACTATCATGTGAAAAATTGTGAAAATCTATCCAACCATCTCTGAGTAATCGCGCTCACAAAATTTGGGAGGAATAATAATAATAATAATAATAAAAAGAAACAATACAATCACTATAAGTCTTCCGTTGTGAACGGAAGACCTAATAATAAAAAGAAACAATACAATCACTATAGGTCTTCCGTTGTGAACGGAAGACCTAATTATAATAAGAAGAAACAGAGTAAAAACAATATGTTCCCAAACTTCGTTTGGGGAACATAATTAATAGCTCTCAAAACAATTATTTCAACACAGAAAGAAATTGTGCTATTAGTTTGACTTAAAGGTGCTTAGACACAGATTTGAAGTTAATATTTTCACAAATTTTCTGTATAATATCACGACTTATATATTGCAATAGCATTTCACACGAAAATATAATAATTAAAAACTTATTTTATCTGGAAATTATTGGAACTACGAATTCCTGGACGCGTTTGATTAACACATCCTTGCACTTTCACAATTTTTATCTTTATCCTTAATATTTAAGAAAAGAAGCGATTTTGTTGTGTATTAATGAAAAACATTACATCTTTAATCCAGAAAATTCAGAGTAGAAATGTGCAAAAGCAAACCCCCTCACTAATATCGTCAGTCCGTGCTCAGTGTTGTGTACAGAGTTTTACAAATTGAATACAGCCGTGAAACGTAAACTTTTTGTAAACAGGGCACGAGCTCTGTTATTGTTAATGTTTACGATTCACCGGGTGTGTTCAATTGTTAAACTCTGCACACACCACTGAGCACGGACTGACAATACTGTGAGTGGGTTTTGCTTTCGAACATTTTTACTCTGAATTTTCTGGATTATAGTTTTAATATTTTTCATTAATACACAACAAAATTGCCAGTTTTCTTAAGTATTAAGAGTAAAATTAAAATTTGTGAAAGTGCAAAGGATGTGTCAATCAAACGCGTCCAGAAATTTGAAGTTTCAATAACTTCGAGATGAAATAAGATTTTTATTATATTTTAGTATAAAATGCTATAGCAACATATAAGTCATGAAATTATACAGAAAATTTGAGAAAATATTAACTTCAAATCTGTGTCCAAGCACCTTTAAAGATACATTTGATTTACAGGTTCGCTGCTATGAGTTCTAATTTAGTTTTTTTTTTTATGAAAGAAAACGCAAGAATCATGTATTATGCGTACATGTACTGCCAACATGCGGAATGTCCAAATACTTGAAAATCACAATGAAATATTAAATAATTTCTGCTACAATCAAAAGTCAATAGATATGGAGGTTCAGATCCATACTGCATGAATACATTCAAACTTCAAAGGATATCATCAACATTACTACATATATAACATTTAAATATTTTTTCTGCTTTGATATTTGATGGTGGAAGAAAATTGGAAGTAATCGATTATTAATCGATTATATTGTCTTAAGTAATCGATTACAGGACAAAACTGACTAATCGATTATTAATCGATTACACAAAATTCCTCAAAGTAATCGATTATTAATCGATTACATTTTTCAGTAATCGTGCCCATGCCTGGCCTGTGATTTCATTAATCGTTCTTGTACATATTTTGTATATTGTATTATGTTTGGCTTTTTTTTACCAGAACACTTAGTTGGTATTTATATTGTAATGTGTTGTGTATATAGACCATAATTTTCTGTCATTTATTTGTATAATATCACGAAGTCGTATCATGGCATTAAAGTAAATTAATTGATGATGTTTAATAGAATATATTGCTCACAACCGAATTTCTGTTGATGTATATATATGAAAGCACAATTAATTTAATGAAAATTCAATAAATTCATGAATGATTATATGATTTATGATCTACTTATTTGGCAATTTGAACATACTTAGACCTTATTCACAATGCCCCAATAACTTTTCCAGTGATGGTGAGTTACATATAATTTTAATATAACATGTTAAACATTTATAAATGTTTCAATTTAAAGCAAAAAATAGTTTACAGGGTTCTCCATGGGCCGTTTAACGTGGCGGCCCCGCCACAGTTAAATTCATTAGCGCCACAGTTTAAAAAAATCAGTGCCATAGTTCCGCCACAGTTAAATATTAGCGCCACAGTAAGATCGTCGTTGTCAGTACGATAAATATATAAATTTATTTATCAAATAAACCTCTAAACCTGAAAATTATGTACCGTTTAATGCTAAACTGTTAATTTACTCTAATTAGGGCCCATTGTTTGGCTTGCACAATCAATTATCTTCTAGACCTCGCTGGACACATGAAGCCGTTTTTTTTCACACGTTAACCATGTCTCAAACATTGCACTTGCACTGTGAGTCGAAACATCGTATGTGTCTTATGTGACCTACCAGAATTTCCTCTGTCCTTTAATGAACACTGTATGTGTATATTTACCTTTTGTAAACAAATTTTTTCTAAAAATTAGGGTTAAATACTTAAAACCTGTTATTACTGATACTTTTTTTTCAGATTCTATAAGCAAATATCTATTTATTTAGTACGTATGTGTGTGGGGAGGGGGGTTGGTCTTTTTCACAGTTTACATATATTGTGGAAATATCTTAATTTTTGTTTTACACTATGTTAAATCGATATCAATTTTCTATTATTATGAATCTTATGTCATAAAGAAATACATTCGAGCCAATGTTTCTAATATGTTTGATTGAGTGAATGCTTAATCATTCTCAAATGATATTCCTTTATGTTATAGCTTTAATACAGTCATTGTTTTATAGAATGCTCCAATGAGGAGATGAATTAAAGTTTTAAAGTGATCTATTCTGTTACTTAACATACATTTTATGTCATTATTAAATACAAGAGTGATAAAATGAAATCGATGGCACCTTCAAGTGCATCAATTTTCAATCCATAGAACGTTTCAGAGAACTATTCCAAAACTGGATCATCGAAATGTATACAGAGTACATGGTCGTTAAATGAAAGAAATGATACTTTCACCTTCTCCCTTGCATTCAAGAGGGACATTGAAGTTTTCTTTTTTAAAAAAAAAAAGGCCTTGTTCTTGTAAACAGTAGCTCTTTCAAATCATATATTCCTTTGGTATATCATCCACTTTAGGTTTCCGGAACTGTTTCAGTACATTATATAGATGACAAATGAAGCTTACAAAATTTCTTGAAGAAATGAAGTGGTATTTACAAAATTTGATGCATCCACACTTCCTCGTGCATTAAAACATCTAAAATGAAGTATTTATCCCTCCAAAAAAAACCACGCTTGAAGGTATACTATGACTTCATCATCAACTTAAACTTTCAAACATATTTTCTTTATAATACGTACTTTTAAAATTTGAGTTCAATTTCACGATACAAAAGTTATTCATATTCAGATTACCATAGCAGATTTTTCAATTCAACATACATCAAATGATATATGTCATAAGAAGACTGGTATGTATTTCCAAACTAGTACACCTCAAAACCCAAGGATAAGACAGACAGCAAAAGCAACAATTGCTGTGCTTACACTTCTAGGTAACTTCTAGTACAACTAGTATTAATTGTAACGGGGGCCATTACAGATGTTCCCCAAACGCTCCCCAACTCCCTTTTGGTGTTTTATTCCCTGTAAGCTTCATTAAATAAGGCAATCTAGTATATTGGTCCTTTTATGCATTGCACGGGCATGCATGTACATAATGACCATGTCAACATGTTTACACTTTTAATACATATTTATGTTCAAATTTTATCAAAAGATTAAAAAATTTCGGCTCTATAAAGGATATTTCTCATTTAACGCATTGCACGCCCGTGCACGTGCATGCATGTCCACGTTAAACATGTCATCTTGTCTACAATATTAATATATCTAAATATTTTGAGTATCAAAGTTTTTCATCAAAAAAGTATAAATGTTACAGCTATATCAAGTATATTGGTAATATTATGCATTGCATGCGCACGCACGTGCAAGCATGTGCAAGAAAACAATGTCAACTTGTCTGCACTTATGATATCTCTTCATATACTCAGTATCAAAGCATTTCATAAAAAAATACAAAAGATACGGCTATATTAAATAAAGATCATTTTATGCATTGCACGTGCGCGCATGTGCATGCATGTACATGTTGACAATGACATCTTGTCTATATTCATGATATGTCTATATATTCTCAGGATCAAAGTATTAGATAAAAAAAATACAAAAGATAAGGCTATATTAAATATATAGGTATTTTATGCATTGCACCTGCGCACACGTGCATGCATGTGCAAATAGACAATGTCTTCTTTTCTGCAGTTATAATAACTCTTTATATACTCAGTATCAAAGCATTTCATAAAAAAAATTAAAAAGATACGGCTGTATTGAATATATTGGTCATTTTATGCATTGCACTTGCGCGCACGTGCATACGTGTGCATGTTGACAATGTTGTCTTGTGTACATTTATGATATGTCTATATATTGTGAGTATCAAAGCATAACAACAAAAAATACAAAAGATACGGCTATGTTAAATATATAGGTCATTTTATGCATTGCACATGCGCGCACGTGCATGCTTGTGTATGTAAACTTGTCATCTTGTCTAAATTTATAATTTTCAAAAAAAGATTTAATGTTGTTCTTACATGTACTAGAAGTTATCTGCAAGAGTAAGCACAACATTTGTTACTATTGATGCCTGTATTTTCCAAGCATATTGAAATGATGCTGTTTTGAAATGCATACCATCCTTCTATCACATATAACATTTAATGTATGTAGAATTGATAAAGCATTTTTTGCTACTTTTTTCTTAGAGAAGGATGATAGGGTTTAGCGGAAAATTGGAAATATTAGAAAAGGGCTGTGCAGGATCAAAACCTGTTTTTGCAGTCCTTAACAATCTAACAGAATACATTCTTCATTTCTGCATCGCATTTTTGACCCTAAAAAATTCATAAATTTGGCACCTGTAGACAGTTACGCTAAATAATGTACAGATGATCCACTTGTGGAATACTTTTCTCCTACTGTACAAAAATTGAAAATACATTACTTTCAATTTGCTTAGGTGCAAGTGATCATATCAGTATTTACCATTGGTATACATATGAAAGGCACACACTTTTGGATAGACAAAAACGATTGGATATTATTATTATTCGTGCTTGAAGTTACCTAGAAGTTGTTCCTTTAGCTGTCTGTCTTATCCTTTAGAGGTATACTTGTTTAGAAATGCATACCATTCCTCTTATTACCCATAACACTTGATGTATGTAGAATTGAAGAACCTGTTATGGAATTCTTTTCTTCGAGAAAGATGATAGAATTTAGCAGAAAATTAAAAATATTAGAAAGAGGATGTGCATGTAGGAGAACTGCTTTAACAGTTCCTTGACAGTCTATCACAATACATCTATCATTTCTTCATCGTCTTTTTGATTATTAATAGAAATTCTCTGTAAGCATTTAAACTCTTATATAGGGAGTGTGGCACGCTAGGTCTTGGGTTTTTAAACTTGGCACACATTCCTATATTGATGTATGAAACTAAAATTCATAATAAAATGGTTGCTATGGTCAATGGTTACCATGGCACCCAACATACATTTTTCATGGCCTAAAAAAAACGCTAAATTTTGATGAAAAATGATCCTTTTTGACTAATTAAAAGTCTTTAATAGAACAAGATATTTACATGACTATCTTTTTGCCAAAATACATCATTTTAATAGTTCTTTAGATTATTTCTAGTATTTGAGTAACTTTACCTCATAGAAAAAATATACTCCATTTTTAAGTAGGATTTTTTGGGGAAAAATTGTAGATTTTAGGCTCTTTTGAAAAGCCTGATATAAAATTTTGCAGACATTTGGGAAAAAATAAATACATTGGTTTGAAAGTCCATATATAGTTCTATTAGAAACTGCAAAGACACACTTGGTATTCATATTTCGTTTTCATGTTACCATGGTTACAAACTTATGCTTTTTTTAAAGAATTCCAGACAAGGGCAATGGGTATCTACAATCAGTTTCCATATAAATACCTGAGTATTTTATAATGGATTAAAACCAAATTTAGATATATGGTACACAATAGCAAAAACAAAGAGAAAAATTAATTTTCATGACAAAAGGTCAAAGGTCAAGGTCAAAATGGCTTGATTTAGATGGAAATTTAAGGAAA